CCTTGCCATCCTCCTAAGATCTCTCTTCCTTCTAAGTTATTCTTTCATTCGTTAGAAAAATAGAGGGTCAATCGATTTATCGATTCAAAATTGTTACAATTCGTAACAGTAAAATTAAACAAACTTTACAATCTTAAAAGTTTTCTTTCTTTTACAAAAATGTGAATAATCCTCAAAATATAATTTCACCTTGATTATTAAAAAAATATCATGTTCCATTAATTTAAATAATACGTAAATAAAGATACTCAATATATTGATCGTAGACATTTATTGTCGTAGATATAAAGCTTCATAGTAATTTTTACATATTGTTCGTATTTTCTTCATTTTTTCTTTGAGTATGTACATAAAAATTCAATTTCTATTTTTAGTACATTGATTAATCGCGAAACGTCTAAATGTTAGCTATCTTCGAGGTTCTAAAAGTTACAACAGAATCTTGATTTAGCGACCACAGATGCAATTCGAAAATAGCAATTACATACAAGCTTCGTGAAACGCTTTTGAAACTTTTATAAATAATTTAACAACGTTCTTTATTCGATCAAATCAATAAATTTTTATAGGTAAAACGTTTATTGCAATTATATTTTAAAAAACTAATTCTATATTGATTCACATTTAATTTAACAATTATTATCTCATATAATGCTACTTTTTAAAAAATATATAGTAGAATAAAACAAAATTTGAAATTAAATGTGTATTTCATAATAGAGATTTATTAAAATTGTATCTAATGTGCAATAATTGCATTTAATTTATAAAAAGCTACAATATAGTATAAAAAATATTTATAAACATAAACAAATATTTTCAATATAAAAATAAATATAACTTTATACACAGACTAATAAGATGGATTAATTAATGTGAAAAAAAAGTACATACTTTTTTTTTAATTATAAAATTTTTAATATACAATCATAAATCTTTTTTGAACAGTAACTGTAAAGTGTTTTCTTTACATCATTTAATTCACCTCATTACTCTGTATAAAAATATTAAGATAGAGGAGAGAAAAGAAATTGCGGACCTAAAGGAAAAGTAAATAAAACTGCCAATTATTAATCAATTAATTAAAGTCTTTATTTCAAAGGCATATTTTAATAAGAGCATAATTAATTTGTTATATTATCAATATTTGTATCATTTTTAGACATAAGTATATCTCCAACTAGATTTTGAAATCTACAATAAATAATTCAAGTAATTTTGATGAAATTTTATGTGTTTGAAGGTATAAAGCCTTATCTCTTGAGACTATACCTTATTTTTTTATTCAATCAGGAGCGGACTTAAAAGGATAAACGGGTACATTTTCTTACGAAAAAAAATTGATACGCTACTTTTTCTTGTGTTTGAAATTTTTTATAATAAAGGTTAGGTAAATAACAATTAAGATAAAGGAGATAAATCAGCAGAAAAAGATTTTCTTAATATTTTTGATAGAATAAACCTTTTCTGAGATCGTTGGATCAAATAAAAACGATTTTGCAATTTACGAATTTGAATTTATTTTTTCTCTCGAAAATGGTTTATATTCTATCGAAAATATTACAGAGATCTTTTTTCTGCTAATTTGTATAGAGTATTATTAAGTCTTAAACATATATATATATATATATATATATATATGGTATATGTTTACGAAACTAATAAATTATGAAATATAGTATCGTATATTATAAGTTTATTATTCATAATCACTTAAATTTTAACAGTCACGTGAACTTCATAAGAGCCGAGCTTTAATAGTATCTAGTTGGTGGCATCTAGCAACAACACTGTCGTTAAGGTATTTTTACATGGCAGCGTCAAGCATCGTGAGCTTACTATTCGTCGATTTTAATCACGTGATCTATTTTTAGCAAATAGTAAGCTCACAATATTCGACGCTCGACGCTTGATAGTCCTACCCTGATAGCAATGCCTGCGGAAACAGATTTTAAGCAGAGCTACTAATTTTTGATTGCAGAAAGGCAACAAATTGTACACTGTAGAGTTTGTATTATCCAATATTATCTTATATTATGTTAGCAAATTGCTGTCAAAAATATGACAAAACTTGCTAGACATGCGATGCCATATTGATGGCAGAAACCGAACGAAGTCCTGCATAATCTAACGGCAAAATGGGAGCAAATGGAGAGCAGACGTTGCTCGATCAATCTATTGGCAAAACCTGTCAGCTAGCCTTGTTGAAAAATTCCTATTGATTAGCCAAATGCAGACATATAGATGTGTATTCAAAATCTGATCGAGTTTACTGCCAATTCAAATATCTCAAATGGCTAACATTTTGTTATTAGGGTATACATATAATAGCATCTTTAGGCTACGTCTATCTATATTAACTGTATTCATTTTATAAAATACTAAGCCTCATTTGAAGAGGCCGAAATCCAGTAGGTTGAAAAAGAAAAAGAAGAATTGTATTCATTTTTTTCATGTATGCGTGCGAACTTAGATAGACGCAATCAAAAACTTTCTCTCGTTTGGCGGGAATGAGGGTATCGCGAATGAGCATGCAATGGGACCTAAGATGGACTTTAGATGGTATTATCGCGAGTATACTGCCTTATAAAAGCATACTCGCTTATCTTTGAGTCCGACCTTTATATTTTTTGAATAAAAAAAATAATGAATAATCTTAACGGATCAAACTTCACGTCTTTCAAACATACAAAGTTGCATCAAAATAACTCGGATAATTTTTGAAATTTTTAGAAAAGATAAAATTTCTTTTTTAACTTGACATCATGTATGTTTAAAATTTGTTTCAGATATATGGTTATTTTTGTCTCAAATTTGTGAATGAAGAATTACTCTTTTTAACTTTCACACCTTATATAATCACGTGGACAGTTTGACAATAGTCAATAACTTTTGAAAAAAAGATTGTTGACAAATAAGTCGAATTTTTATTTTAAAAAGTTAAAAAAAATCAGTGACTTATTAAACTATTTCGTATATGTATACATATATATGCGTTTTACCGAACTAACTTTTTTGTTATAATTTGTATTCTTTATTGTACGTATATTGTAATATTTTTAATATCAAAGTAAAAACTAATAAAAATGTCATATGATGTGTATGAATTTTATTTTACTTGGCTTAACATGATATCATTATCTTTTTCGAAACAACTTTTCTTTCTGAAATTGGAAAATTTTTATTTAAATTTCTTAAATAAAGATCAATTATTATAGAATTTCTAAAGAATAATTAAAATGGATCATTATGTATATATTATTACGTGCAGTCTGTTCAACTTTATCGCAACTATCATTTCAAAGAAGAAATAAATATAAATAACCCGATATTTTGACAGTGCTCGTAATTATAATTATTGTATTATATTATAATTATAACTACATAAATATTTCTTTTGTCAAGATCTATTATAATATAATAAGCCAAAGACTTTAAAAAAATGTATATGTATTTTTAAACAAATTAAAGTGTCTTAATGTAATTATCAATAAGCGTATGAAGTAATAAATGTAATCACGAATTTCAGAATTGACAAAAAATTATTTACTATAGATATTATTTAAAGATTTTAATAACTCTCTAATTAAATGTAATGTTTATTTCTTATATAATTAATAGGATTAATAATTAAAATGTTGTAAAATGGTAATTAAAAAGATTTGATTCTCTCATATCTTAAGGAAAGTTTGAAAACTTAATTGTATTTGATGTATGTAACTTTATGTAATTTTATTTATGTTATGTCTGGCAAAGTTAAAATTGGAAATGTTACTTCATAATAATAATGTGTTCCCGTTATCTTTAATTAATTAAAGATTTATTACTTTTTTGTAATGTGTTAAAGTGAGATATTGGTTTAAAAACTACATTATTTTTATTAATCAGTATATTACATGTAACAATTAATATTAAAATTTAAAATTCTAAGGTAGTTTATATGTATACATGTATTAATAAAAATAATGCTACTGAATATATAGTTGTAAAAATAATAAGAGATTTAAATAACGCTAAAAGTAATGGATTTGTTACCATTACTGTAATAATTTAACAATATGACAGACAGAAGTATCATTATCGAAAGAAAGTAACGAAAATGAGAGGAGGATAATAGTATTACAGGTAACGCATTACTTTGCAACCTTAGATAAAGTCTACTGATATTTATTTCTGAAAAATTAATCCATTCTACCGCTAATTTAATGACATTGTTTCTCAATTAAAAATTGATCGATTAAAAAAGAAATAATAATAATTCATTATATAAAGGTATAAATATTTAGTATACGCAATTGAATTTAACATACAAAACCAAAAATTGCGTGCAGAACTTTATACGACTTATAGAATAACTTTAAATGCCTTTCATTTGTGAATAATTTATTTTAATTGTTATAAAGCATATCGGAAGAAATCAATCTGTTGTTTCAATAACAGAAATTACAGAAAACCATATTTCTCGAAATTTATTCAAATTGAGATTCATTTTTTTAGATTATTTATTATTTAAAAGTATACATATATTAAAAAGTATATATTTAATAAAGATTCCAAAGATAATATATAAAGAAGTCGAAACTTTCGAATATTTTATATCCTTCTTTTACTTAAATGAAGTGAGAAGAATGAAAATTCACTTTCAGAAGAATGAAAAAACTTAAACCGAAAGCAAACTTAAATTTGCACCATTGGAAAATGATATTTGCGTAAAAATGAAGTTAGTAGTAGAATTAAGAAGAAAGAAATTGGTAAAATTTTATAAAGGAAATTATGAAACTAATCCTGTAACCAATAATGCAACTTTGTCTCGTTCAGAAGAATCATTATCATTAACCTTCGATTAACTTCGATCCAACCGAAATAACATGGAATATCACGTGTAGACAGCGAAATCTTGCACGGTAGGTCAATGGGTCGCTACCGATAACGTCTTTGTCGATACGATTTTGGTATAAAAGACTCGCATTGCTCGGTAGACAGCATGCGGTAAACGGTATTAACAGCATCACAATGAGGTGCACGATCGTTCTACTGGCTCTGGCCACTTTGGGGGCAGCTCTACCCCAACAGCAGCCGAAACAACGTGCTGGTAAGTAATTGCTATTCTATTCAAGTCATCATTATGCTCTCTCTGTATCTTTCTTTCTCTGTGTTTATCCGTCTCTTTCTTGATCAAAGGACTGTATAATTTCTACAAAGCCCCATTTGAAAAAAATACCACTTTTTCTATTATTTTGATATTTTTAATATGATTTAGACTATTAAGCGTTTTACATACTGGGTAATGATTCGGTAATAATCTTTCGTATGGGTAGACAGTACAGAATGTTTAAAATAAATATATATATTTATAAATATTTATTATTTATTTTTCAAAATATCATATAAATATTTTATTCGAAAACATTATTAAAACATTGGCTAAATGTTTTATGTAATATTTATGTGATAAACATAGGTAAATACTTTTTACTTAGATTATAATTAAGTCTTATTAAATATTTTTATATCATTTACTATAATATATACGATAAATATTTCGTAATTTTTATAATAAATATCTATGATCTGTGCAATGTAAGAATACAAAAAATATTTACAAAATATTAAAAATAAATCTTACAAATATTTTGTAAATATTCTATAAATATTGTGTGTTGTCTGGTGAATGAGAACATATCCGCCCGATCTACAAAATACAAACATACGGCAAAATACAATTGTCCAACACGTATTTTCTTTTGTCTATTCGTGTGTTACCATTGCCGTTTGTAGAAAACAACTCTCTATACGCGTGCGCCTATCTTACTATGCTTGGAGATCGTACTTTTATTTATTGATATTAGATCGAGTGAATATGTGTAGTTTATTGGACAATTTTTAAAAATTACTATCTCATTAACTGTTGCAAAAATTGTAAAATGCTACAAAACTTTTCGATTCATGCATTATGCAGTCATCTGTTGGATATTCTATATATATAAATACTTGTTTAATAGATAAAATATTAATATTTATATAAAGTTCAACTCAACAACACAACTTATATAGAATACAACTAAACAAAATTTATTTTTTTGTCATTAACAGCTGATCAAGATCTTCTGAAAAAGCAACAAGACACTTTACTGTTGCTACAACAAATAACCCAAGAAATCCCGAACGAGCAGTTGCAGAGCCTTGGCACTAATTATGACATTCAAAGCAACTACCTTCAACATGAAAATCCGATCCTCGTAAGATACTTTGAGGGTGCTGTACAAAACGGTCTGGTTCAGCCAAAAGGCACTACTTATTCGAACTCCATCAGCCAGCTTCGTAAGGAAGTTTCCCTCCTGCAGAGGATCTTATTAGGCACCAAAAACTACCAGACATTCTTAGCAACCGCCGCATGGGCCCGTGTCCACGTTAATGAGGAACAGTTCATCAGGGCTTTTATTGGAGCCGTTCTTCAGCATCCAGAAACCCAGGGTGTCATTCTGCCACCTCTATACGAAATCACTCCTCAATACTATTTTGATGCTAGAATCATTCAAGAAGCACAGAACATTGCACAAAATGTTGCAAAAGGTGTTCGCTACAACCAAGTTGTAATCCCTGTAAATTATTCTGCCCAATTATCCACCAGTGAACAACAACTATCCTATTTCACGCAAGATATCGGTCTCGCTAATTATTATAGCTATGTAAATCTCGCTGGACATTTATTGGAGCAGGTAAGCATATTTTCTATTAACGCAAATATATAATTTCTCATATAAAAAGAAATATATTAATTTATTTTATTTAAATTCGCTGCTGTATTAACATTTTTAAATATTACTTCAGCAAGGACAACAAACACCTGCGCAATTCCAACAACAAGGCATCCGGAATCAGGAAGATCAAATTGGTCGGGGTTCCGTTTACTATTACCTTCACCAACAATTACTGGCTCGTTACCAACTAAATCGTTTCTCGAACGGATTGGGCCCAATCCAAAACACCGATTACGTTAACGTACAAGCACCATATCAACCGCATCTCCGTACCACAAATGGGCTGGAATTACCTGGACGTCCTCAGAATCTGCAGCTCAGTCCCACTAAGAATGCTCTTATCCAAACTGTCAGGAAGATTGAGCAAAGATTGATTGAAGCCATTGACTCTGGACATGTCATTACTCCGCAAGGCGCTTTCCTCTCTCTTTATCAGCCGCAAGGTTTGAACATTCTTGGAGAACTCATCCAAGGAACTGGCAGAAGTGTTAATCCAAGGTCAATTTTCAACTAATTAATGTACTAATAAATATATAGTAATACAATACTTGTAACACAATGTTTTCTATTACAGATACTATGGCAGTCTTCAAGCCGCCGCACGTCAACTCCTCGGCAATGCTCCTGAAGCACAGAACATCTATGATTACACTCCTTCTGTTTTGGAATTGGGACAAGTTGCAGTCCGTGATCCAGCTTTCTATCAACTTTATAAGAATGTTATCCAATTGTTCACGCAGTATCAGAACTCCTTGCCCGCTTACCAATACAACGATATTGTTTTGCCTGGCGTTACAATCCAGAACGTTCAAATCAGTCCATTAGTAACTCTCTTTAACGATTATTATGTCGATCTTGATGGAGCTACACAACAACAAGTTGGCCAACAACATCAAGTCCAACAACAACAACAACAGCAACAACAACAACAGCAACAACAACAACAACAACAACAACACATCAAGGCTCAAGTGAAAAGATTAGATCATAAACCATACGAATACCAGATCACTGTTCAAAGCGAGCAGAACGTCCCTACTGCCGTTGTCCGCGTCTTTTTGGGACCGAAATATGACTACGAAGGCAAACCCATTAGCATCTCTCAACATAGGCATCAATTCGTGGAACTCGATCAGTTCACAACTGACCGTACGTATTCGACTTTTCCAGATTACCAATGATACATATATACACACACATACATATGATTTTTTAATTACATACATTATCGAATCTCTTTGTTTTACAGTTCATCAAGGACAAAATGTCATTGTAAGACAATCTCAACAGGCACCAGGCCAGAGCTTCGATTACCCATCTGTTCAAGAAATCAAGCAGGCTGTCAACAGTGCCATTCATGCCCAAGAACCATATTACATCACTGAGGTAATTATTTTTCTCTCTTTCTGTTTGTGTAGATGTTTGTAAGATGAGTATTTCAATAAGCGATCTAAATATTAACAATTTTTCAGCCACACCAAATTTTCGGTTTCCCGGCAAGACTGACTCTTCCTAGAGGTCAACCTGGTCAAGGATTGCCACTTCAATTATTAGTTGTGATCTCTCAATTAGGATCACAAGACGTATCCTATGGACCGGTGGTTCCAGAACAACATCAAACTTACGAACAAGGCGAATATCAACTAGTTAGTACTGAGGACTATCAACAGATCCAACATCAAGGTGCCAAAGTAATCGGTGTGAAACAGACTGTGGAGGTTGTACCAGAAACTCTGTCGTACAGTCAGCAACAGAATCAAGGTACACTATTGATATTAAAGAGACAAAGTTATTTTGCCATTGAATAGCATAAGATAATAAGTAATTCCTTTTTTACAGGTGTAAGGAACCATTATGCTGATCTTTATACTCAACAACATGGACAATACCCGTACACGCACTCCCAGTATCAAGTAGGCCAAGGACAAAGACACGGACAAACCGTTTACGGTGTACAAAACCAATGGTTTGGACGTCAAGATCAACAATGGCAGCACAGACAACAGGGACAAAATGCTCAAGAACAACAGCAATGGAGTCAACCCCAAGGTATTTACCATCAAGAACAACAGGGACAATACCAACAATACCAACATGGCCAACAAAGTACAGTAGGATTCCAAGGTGAAGTACCAGTTGGTGTACATGTCTCGCAACAAGGTATTCATGGAGTACAATCAGGCATACAAGGTGCCCATGGTGTCCAAGATGTACAAACTGAACATGGCGCACAATACTTCGGAGTAAAGGGAAATCAAGGCCTCCTTAACAGCATTCAGTCTGGAATTCAAAACAGATATCACTTTGCTTACCAAGGACAGACCCAACAACAAGGATATACTGGTAGCGGACAATACCATGCCGGTGGTTTCCAAGGTATCCTGAGTCAAAGACAAAAAACGCAGGACACAAATGTCAACAGATACTACCAAAATAAGCACATCTCTGAAATAATCGGTGGTGCTATCTCTCTCGATGGTAAACCTCTTGGCTACCCGTTGGACAGACCTTTGACTACCGGTGCACTTTCTGTGCCTAACGTTTACGTTCAAACCGTCCACATTGTTCATGAAGGCCAACCCACCAACGAAGTAAACACTCATTAAAATGTTCCTTAAAAAACAGATATAATAGGTATGTAGCATCGTTAAATGCAACGATGCTTGTCTAAAAGCTATTTCGTTCAATGTAAAAAAAGAATTATCAATTCATTGTAGCAAATGCAATTAATAAATTGCCCTAAAACGCAAATCTTTAGATATATTTATTTATGACGCGATTTCTGTTCCTTCCCACAGCATGAAAGTTTACAACAACAACGCAAAACATTTGCAATGTTACCATAATATTATTGAAAATTGCTGAAATGTGTGTGTGTGTGAGATCTCTTTTACACTAGTTTTTTTACATACGCTTTCTTCACAAACTTCCATAATATATAACTATTGTTCGCATCATCACTACATTTTTTATGTTGTTTTTGAAGAAATGCCAATTTTACTTTTCTATATTTACATGATATATGTATAAATATTATGAATAATGCTTTTTATTATTACATACATGCTACATTTGGTTCACGAGGAGGTACCCTCACGAACAGTGCTCTAGCTATAAAAAAATAGGAAGAAAATAACAGGAATCGATACGATCTGTAAAAAATAATTTTTTATTATAATTAATTTATTCAAACATACCACCGAAAATTTTCAAAGATATTTCAACATATTTCAATTAAAAAGTAAGACATTTTATAAAAGTTACGAAATATATCTGCAACTAGATGCATTCAGTACAACGACCGCTCACTGAACATTCAGTGAATTCTTGTATTTTGTTTGGTTTATATTTTTAAATCTAACAGAATATGCCAATCAGATGCAAGAAGCCAAGAACTCACTAAGCGCTCAGTGAGCGGACGTTGTATTAAATGCACCTATTTTTTAAACATCTCTGGAGTAGCAAAATGTCTCCGCGATTTTTGTACTTGAAATATTATACGAGGATGGATCAAATATAAACGAGAATTTTTTTTAAAATTATTTAATATGAAATAAAAATACAAAACATTTTTTTTATTTTTCTACGTAAGCTTCTGCTTTAGAAACGTATTTTTCCCATCTAACTGGAAGCTTTTTTATATCACAATTATAAAAGAATTAAGGTGGACGTGTTGTGATCCAATTGCGCGCAAAGGCCTCTATATCTGTCATCCGCAAAACAGCCCCCTGAAGGAAGCCCGCATATACTTTCCGTAATAGTAATCATAAGACATACCGTAAGAATTAGCCAATCACAGTCAAGAATTCTTTTAAACCCTTATTTCTCATTGGCTAATTTTTACGATATAACGTCTTAGGGTTACTGTTACGGAAGATATGTGCCCCTATAAGGGCCATGACACACAAAACACTTAAGTAATTTCGATTTTAATCAAGACTTAAAACTGTCTCTATCTCTGTCTCTCTTTCGACTTTAAAACGAGATAGATAGGATTTTAAATCTCGCTTAAAATCAAAGTAACGTTGGTGCAAGACCTAAAACGTACGCAGTAAGGAAATATTAACATGTTGGATTAGTACGGATTCTACTGTGATTGGTCAATTCGCTGATACTTATGTTTTTACTGCTTAAGTTTTTCTTGTGTATCATGGCCCTTTGTCTTAAAATTTGTTATATGCTAAGGCCTTAAGATAAAGTTTGTAGAATTTTCTTACATATTCCATATCTTTTATATACACACACAAGTCAAAATTAAATAATAATAATAAAATAAATAATCTTTTGTGTAAATATCATTTTATTAAGAAAGTTTATCATCGTTTTCTCAGCGATCTTCTTAAAGCGATGTAAATCCGTTGTCATTTTTATGTACAATCATTCTCCAGTCATCATCTCCATAAATTCTATAAATTAAGTTTAATTTTCAGTAAAGTCAAAAATAAAGTACTATAATTATATTTTAATAATATAGTAGTTTATATTATCTAATATTATATACACATCATTTAAAAAATATCTTTACTTCAGGAATTTTTCGCTAAAAAATTCATTTTCAGCAAAATTTCGACAATTTCTTTGACATGTTCCGAAACGTAGAATAGTTTCAACAAAATTTTTTTACCGGAATAAACTATTCGTTATTCTAAAAAATGTTTCAAGTGGAACTTACTTTATTTTGAGAAGGACATTTTTTGTTAGTCATAAATCTTCTCTAGGTGAATGTTATCTGCAAGATTTCAAGGTGACTTTTAATTTTTTTATTAGAGTTATTTATTTATTTTTTATATAAAAGAATTGTATAATATAATAATAGATACATCAAAAAATCAATAATTTACAGGGCATTTTATACTTTACTCTGCACATCTTGACATAAAATATTAAATATTTCGTAAACTATTAATTTAATTGTTGATGATTGTACTTTTATGAATAGAATAATGAAAATAAATTAATAAAAAAGATACATAATTGCTTATTTAAGAAATTATCCATTTTGCATATATATCTTTTTTGTAAATAAATGTGTATTTTTTACACCAAAATAATATATTTCATGAACTATTGACTTTTTGGTATCTCTATCTTCAATACTTTTACACGCAGAATAATTAGAGGAATTATATTATATAAAGAAACTATATAATTCCATCTGAAGAAATAAAGGTCACCTTGAAATATTGGAAGCATGTCCACTTACAGATTATCTATTATGACCATCAAAAAATGTCCCTCTAAACAAAATCAGTTCCACTTAAAACATTTTTTGAAGTAATAAATAGTTTGGAAGATAAATGCATCCGAAAGGTTAAATGGAACACTTTGTATATGATACATTAATCATATACTAATATTCTGTATAGATTTATATATTACATGATATAAATTACATACCGTCAAAATCTACTGTACCGGAACCGTCTGTGTCAATCTCCGCGATTATTCCATCAAGATCAGAACTAGTAAGTTTGTCGTCGAGAGCCGCTAAAATCTCTTTTAATGTAGCTGTCGTAATGTATCCATTGCCCTCACGATCGTATAATCGAAACGCTTCTTTCAACTCCTCCTGCATTGCCTCTGCATCCTCCTCTTCAAGAAATCGACCAGCGATCTTACAAAAACCGTCAAAATTTACTTTACCAGAACCTTCAGGATCATTCTCTTCAATTAAAGTATTTAATTCGCCATCATCAAACAATTGTCCCATTGTATTTAATATTGTTGAGATTTTCATAGTCTCAATGAAACCACTTTTTGTTGTATCGAACATTTGAAACGCTTTACGCATTACAGCCACTTTTTGATCATCTTCCTCCTGTAAACAAAGTTTCGAATTTACATTAAGTTTACTTTTATTTATAATAAAAAAAGATTATAACTGCTAACAGTTGAGATAAATTTTATAATAATTTTTAAGCTTTTTAAATTATTTTAAATAATTTGTTATAGTATCTATCCATATCTGGAAAATAAGCACACTATTGGAGCGTTTTTGAAATAATATGGAATTTATGGCTGTTTTTTGCTAATTGAATGTTTAATTTATAAGTATATTTTGCACTATTTAAATTAACTATTTCTCAGTTTATCTAAGTCTTACCATGACAACTAATAAGAGAACCTTTACACCGTATTAGGCAAATCACCAATGATGCACGATAGAGAACGAACGGAGGACTTGAAGAGAATTGATTCTTCCGTCCCAGTATAAAGACTTCCTGTCCGTATCTGCTAAATCAGCTAGAAAGACGACGCATGCAAAAATAGAGCGGCGACGCCGACGAAAAATGAAATATGTTATAAGTGAATACCACAGGCTCTTCACGGTGTCGTTTATATGTATGAAGGTCGTACAAAAGCTATTATATCGCATGATTACCGATATGTTTCGACATAATTAACAGATTTTGTACTAAATCGTATTCACCGAATAACGATGTTTAATGTAAAGGTAGACCTCATTATGTCTCTGCTGAAAAATTTTCTTAGAATCAAGTAATTTTCCAGAATTTCTATGTATTTTTATAATTTTATAATTTTCTAGACAATTTCTAGGATTTGCTACACACATTAGAATATTTTTAGGAAATGCTAAGATAGTCTACATTTCTGTTAGAATTTTTTATGAAGTATAAATTATGAAATAATTTTAAGATCTCTCTCTCTCTCTCTCTCTCTCTCTCTCTCTCTCTCTCTTTCTTTTTCTCTTTCTTTCTCATATATTTCTCTATGTAATTTATAAAATCTGAACAAGTTTATATTTTTTTAGAAACCTTTAAGTTTATAAAGTCTAAAAAATTCTTACAAATATTGTGATAAAAATTTTTTTAACTATGGGAATATCCATTTTTTTATAATATTTATTATGTTCAAAATTATTCATATATCAAACAATATAAAAAAGTAAAATTAACAATATTCATAATATGTACAAAATGAGTCGTACTTATATGTATATATATAATAAGAAAAAACAGAGAAGGAGAAATGATCATCTTGATAGTCGTTTATATAACTGAATAACGATTTTTATATTTACATGATAAAAATAGAGAAATTGTATAATTCCAATGATGTATATTAAAACAGAAACAAAAATTAGCTTCGCTCGAATCATTTCGCCGTGGTGATATTTCAAGTTTGAAATAGGGCAACGTATTGCCGTTCTTAGGCCACTACCTACGCATTTTGTGGTTGCAATCCGTTACAACGCGTTACTATCTATTTAGCATGCCGCTAGACTGATGTAAAAATATATCGGGCTCCTTTTGGCTTCTCTCTCGCCTCTCGCAAACCATTCATCACCATTCACGTAATTTCTAGGTATAAAGAAAGAATAGGAGATTACTTAATTTCTCCATTATAATTGTTATTATAGATAATTTATAGAATTATGCGTGACTTATTTGTATTGTAATTTTGGTCATTTTGAGAAACTAATACATATGAATATATTTAAGAGTCCTATAAAGATAAATGCTAATGACACTTCTTCATTTTTAAATTCAATATAAGAAAAGTCGTGCTTGTAAGAGCGTTTACAGTTATGCTAACGCGTAAATGATATATTTTTAAAAAAGAATGTCAAACTATAAATATATAGTTCAAACCAAAAACTGTGTTGTACTAAACTAAAAATAAAAATTTAAATGACAGTACTTTTAACTTAAAAAATAAAATCTAAAATAATCTTTATACGTTTTAAAAACAGAGTGTTTTATGTGTATAGGTATAGATATATATATACAGTATTTCAAATAAAAAACGCTTGTATCAAATTAAAAAATAAGGTCTATGTGTAATAATATTTTTATTTAAAAAAATGTCAAATTTAAGTGATATATAT